CTCCAGTTCCACCCATCACTGCCCTTCCCAGCTCCTGAAGCTGAGTTTTTCAATATAGGCTCATAAACTGCATTCACTTCTCTCTCGTATTTGGTGAGGAGTGCTTGGATTTCAGTACTGTTTCTATTGCTAATTGACAGGTGGCCCAGCCATCCGGTCCATTCGGCTCTTATCTGTAAGATGTGGGTCTTGCACTGGCTGTCAGAGAGCGCCTCTTTTAACCCTAACCCTCACCCTAAACCTTCACCCTTCAGCTGGCTTCACCTCTCGCCACTTCCTTTTCCGCAAAGGTGCAGCTAGTGGCCAATGGGCACTGCCACTGGGGAGGCCTGGTCATTGCTGCTTAGAGGCGCAAGGGACCCCTCAGGCCCACTACCTGCACAGCTCACCCCCTGACGAGCTTATCCACCGACACATCTAGCCAGGGTGCCACTGGTTTGGGTATCTCTGGGAGGCATCACAGGAGCTACACCAAACAAAACAGCTAGCTGGATAATGTTGAAACTGCTCACAGAGTGGGCGAACCCCTCTCAGTGACCTCTGACCCTCACCTGCCGCTTCCCTCATGTTAAAGAGATGGGAGTCAGAAACCCTAGAAGCCAGGATACTCCCTGGGTGAAGCGTCCTAGAATTCACCATGTGGATCAAAATGTACTCTAATTACTATTTACACATTCAATAACTCAGTAATTTTAACAATCCATGGCAATAGCAAGTCATAATTAGTGATTTTTAAACTTGCCTTTTTTTTTTTCAGTAGGTCCACTAGTCATTTCCTACATATTACTCATGTTCTTGACAGCACTTGGCAAAATAAATTTTTATTTTCAGAGAAGGAAACTGGAACTCGGAGGTGTGATAGTATGTGCAGGGTGATGGTTAACCAGGAGCCGAGTCAGAGTTGAGCTCGGTGTTAGGAAGGTCCCGCATTGTGGATCTCCCCACAGCTCATGCTCCGGCCGCAGTGACACTTGTCCTGACCAAGCCTGATTTCAAATGTTGCTTCTACATTGCAAAGTCCCCAGGACCTGCATGCACTGTTATGACTGTGCTAAATGGGAAGCCTCCCCCTCAAGGCCGGGACACCTTTCTTTGCCTGGAAGTCTACTCTCTCTGGGAACAACACAGTAAAGGGCACATGGGGGCTGAGTAGAAAGGTTGTAAGTTGGGCCCGGACTACAAGGGGCTGGTGTCCTCGCAGTCTTCCCAGCAGAAAACTCGCTCTGGCCTTCACCAAGATCAAAGCCTTGGCTGCCGGCCAGCTTCCTTTGCTGAGCCACTGCACCAATAAATACTTGTTGGCAGATCGATTAAACCATCTAGGAATGACGTCTGGAAATACAGCTTTCCCCTGCGTGGTACAGGTGCACAAGCCTGCACAGGCAAGAGCCCAACATGTCCACTCTGCAGGCCAGCATGCCAGCACCTTCCGCAGAATCAGGCAGTCTGGGGGGCTGGGCAAGGCAGAATGGAGACAGGGCTGTCCCACAGAGCAGGAAGCGAGCACCTCACTGTGAACACGGCCCTGCTACACACTAGCTGGGTGGCCTCCTTCCAGCAAATTCTTCACCTTCCAAAGCTCAGATGCCCCATCTACAAAATGGGGATAATGATAGTACTGCCACGAGACTTATCACGAAGCACAGCCCAGAAGTCTGCATCATGGTACAGAGTTAGGCTGCCACTAGGGAGCACTGCTGTGACTCCTGGATGCTCGGCTTTCAACCGAGGCCCTGCTAATGCATCTCAGAGGGCAATGAAAGATGGTCCAAGTGCTTGGGCCTCTGCCATCCATGTGGGAAACACAGATGCAATTCTAGACTCCCAATTTCAGCCTGGCAAAGCCCTGGCCGCTACAGTCATTCGTGGAGTGGGACATTGGATGTGACAAGTCTTTCTCTACCTCTCTGTCATTTGGCCTTTCAAAGAAATTTAAGCAAGGCAAAGCAGAAAAAAATGAAACAACAACAAAAGTCCACTCAGCTCAGGGCCCCAAATACACTTCCTCACCAACACTTCCAAGGCTGCTCGGCCCAAGGCTGCACTCTCGTCTGGGGCTCCACACCCCTTCCCGTGTCACTCAAGCACCACTCCAGACTACACAGAGCTGGGCTGTCAGGCCAGGGAGGAACTCCGGAAACCCAGGCAGATTCCACAGGCCTGACCCACTCTCGGGGCGACCTCACAGCAGTGAGGTGTTTTCAATGACACTCGTTCTTTAGAGTTCGAGTAGGCCTGATTCATGGGCGCTGCTGGAGCCGTCTTTACACAGCTTCTCTTTTCAGAACACCCTGCGGAGTTCTGCACTGAGCCAAGAGCTTTGATGGCTTGGATGGATGAAGTCTCTGTGGAGAGGGAACATGACCTTGACAACAGTGCTGGTCTCAGGGCCACCCCGAAGCTCAGTGCTGAAGGGAAGTCACAGGGCCCTTGCTGCCTGGCCACCCAGTCAGGTGGGACACTTTCTGGTGCATTCTCTCCCTGTCTCTTGGGTAAACACAGCTTGCCTCGGGCACAGCGGCACGACCTTGGAGACCTGCTCTTTGTGCCTGAAGCACTTCCTCACAAATGGAACAGGCTACTGCAGCAGTTCCTCCCTGTCAGCCTGACACCTCCCACCATGTGAGCCTTACACATCTAGGAGAAAGTTCAATTTATAAACTAGGTATAGTAAGAGACAGTAATAATAACCAATAGTAAAACAGCAATTACAACAATATACCTTAAGAAAAATTTGAGTTGTTTATTTCTGGAATTTTCCATTGAATATTTTTGGCTACCATTAATCATAAATAACTTCATGGACACAAAGTGAAATCATGGGTGGGAGGCCTGACTACAGGTACTGCAAGGATGAGATGTGCCCAGCACTAGAACAGAACACAGCACGAAGCAAAGACTAGGCACTATGTAAGTATTGTTTCTTCTGCCATCATCATCACAACCGTGATGCCAAGAGTGCCAGCAGGCTGCCCACTGGCCAGCCTCGATGCTACGCTTCTCGGTCCCTGTGGATGGGCACTCGCCCACTGGCCAGCCGACACCACATTTCTTGGGACTCAGACGCACGTCTGCTGCTCTGTGCAGCAAACCCTGATGGGCTGAGCTGTCTCACTTGCGCCACACTAGGACAATTTCACGTGCAGAAGGTTCAAGAACAGTATGTGCTTGTCATAGGAAACTACACCTTCAGGAGCTCTTGCCCTCAACAAATACATGCATCAAGAAGAATAATGTCCAGTGAATAGTTTGTAAGTCTTGCTTTTGTAGTCATACAAACTCAAAAGTTGGCAAGATATCTATTACCATACTCCATCACATGAGCAGAAGAGCCCACCTGTCCCCACCCAGACACTCAGAGCACCCAGGAACCCCCCAACACTCTCACCTGTCCTCACCCAGACACTCAGAGCACCCAGGAGCCCCCCGACACTCCCACCTGTCCCCAGCCAGACATCCAGAGCACCCAGGAGCCCCCCGACACTCCCACCTGTCCCCAGCCAGACATCCAGAGCACCCAGGAGCCCCCCAACACTCTCACCCGTTCCCACCCAGACACTCAGAGCACCCAGGAGCCCCAACACTCCCACCTGTCCCCACCCAGACACTCAGAGCACCCAGGAGCCCCCCAACACTCTCACCCGTTCCCACCCAGACACTCAGAGCACCCAGGAGCCCCCCGACACTCCCACCTGTCCCCACCCAGACACTCAGAGCACCCATGATGTTCTCATTCCATTCAACAGTGTTACCATTGCTGTTGGCTGTCTCGCCACTGGGTTTGCCTGGTTACCATGCCTAAAAGGGCTCTACTTCCTACTGGCGCTGTGGACAACCTTAGTCCCTTTCAAAACATACTCACTTGCTCCCATATTGAACTAGCCAAACAGAAACACAACACCAATGTGGCCTTGCAGCGATAACCACAGCCCAGCAACTATGTAAAGGCATCAGAGCTGTCTGGTGTGGACCTGCCCTCAGCCGCATGACACTGCACTCCTCTTGAGGACAGCCCACCCTCAACGTCTTTCTTGAAGTTGCTCTTACTCCCTTACACAAGGAACACAGGCCAGAGACCCCCGGGCACTCCAGCTCTGGGCCCTGGAGCTCCATCCTTCCTATCACAGAGGTCTGGCTGGTAGTCAGAGGCACGCCTCTAAGTGTGAATGAGCAAGTAGGAACACTCACCTTTCAAACACTGGGATTCAGCCTGAAGCGGCCTCCCCCACAAGCTTGGCTTACAAGGCTGTGGCTGCATTTAGAGGTGAATAAGCCCACCCGTGCCTGACTGCCCTGGGGACAGGAGCCCACCCAGCGAAACCATTTTTGTTCTTCTGGTTTGTAAGGTGTCTGGAACAACTGGTATACACATGAAAGCAGAGGCGGCGGCTCTGGTGTTGCCAGAGGTCAACCTAGTGGCCCACAGGCCTGTCTGTGAGCTGCAAGGACATTTTTCCCCCATAAGGAGTTTTCAAGCAGCCGTGACCTTTAAAAACTGGGGCAGCTTAAGCTGATCTAGATTTCCTGGTTCTGCTTGGGGAAATTAAGAGGAGAAGATTCCCACCCAGGGTTCTCACTCCCAGCAAGGCAACAGTTGTGGGGCAACAAGAGGAAGGGGCCCCCTTTAACAGCTCACCAGTAAAAGCCAGAATGTGATGTTCAGCCCCAGCACACGGTGGATGGCTAACACACATCTCAGCAACCCAAGTGAATGCCAGCGGGCGGGAAGGGGACAGTGAGGAGGAGACACAGGGAGCGACTATGACTCAATGCCTCGATTAACAGCCAGGGGTCTAAAGCACCCACAACCCACTTAATCCTCGAGGCGACCCTAAGCTAAGGTCCCTGGCAGCCTACGCTTTCCACAGATGGGAAAGCTGAGGCCCGGCGCCAGCAAGACCAGCAGGATGAAAACCCAGGCGTAATCGCTCGCCCATGGCAGAGGGCTGCCTCCTGCTGGCCCCCAGCCCTCCCCCCTCCCCAGGGCCCAGCACACTCACGGTCAAGGCCGTTGATGTAGCGCATGGTGACCTCGCAGTGGCCCCACACGGCGCTGACCACAGGGTACAGCTTCTTGCCCTTGAGGCCACGGAAGGCCACGCCGAGATACTGGCCGTCCACGACGAAGCTAAGCGTGCCCTCATCCATGTCCAGCACAACGAGCAGCGAGTCCGGCAGCGCGAAGGCCTCGTCGGGCCCCAGAAAGGCCGGGTAGGCGACGCCGGGCCGGTTCTTGCCGTCGTGGTAGAGGCGGCTGCGGCCCAGGTCCCAGCCCCACGACTCGGCATCGCTGCCCACCAGCGCCGTGTAGCCCACCGAGTGCAGGGGCGCACGCGCTGTGGCTACTCCCACCACGGCGTGCGTGCCGCGCTGCCGCGCGGGCCAGGTGATCTGCCAGGCGTGCAGGCCGCGCGCGTGGCCCACCTTGCCGCGGATGCCGTCCGTGCTCTGCGCCACCGGGTGCCGGTGGAAGGTGAGCCGGTCGTCGTCCTTGACGAAGACGTTGAGCGAGCGGTCCTCGGGGTTCCACGCGTGCCGCAGCTGCAGGGCCGGCCCGGCCGCCGGCATGTCCAGCAGCTGGTCCAGCCGCGCCGGCCGCCCGGGCTCAGCCCCATGCGGCTCGCGTTTGGCGGGCCGCAGAGCAGCCTCGCGCACCTCCACGGACTTGAGGCTTCCGGAGAGCTTCTGGCCCATGGTTCCTGGAGCGGGGCAGGAGCCTGCGCAGGCCGCTGCTACCTCGAGGGTGCTTCCAGTCCTTGGAGCCTGGGGTGGGTCCCGGGGCGCAGAAACTGGCTTCTGGAGTGCAGACAGCCACAGCCTCCAGTAGCCTGGGGCAGAGGCCCAAGCTCCTGCAAGAAGGCAAAGGGCGTGCGGGTTACAACAGCCGTGTCCACATCTACCTTGCTCCTCCTATACCCCCAGGTCTTGATGAGCTGTGGACTTTCAGGAGAACATTGCTACTTGCTTACCTTGGAGCACTTGCCATATGCAGGCAGTGATTCCCCTGTATCACCTGATTGCCTCCTGGGCACCGTTCTGTCACATGCACACTGTCACCCCAATGTACAGATGAGAGAACACGGGGTGCCAGGCAAGGTATTTAGCTCACGCCTCAACGTTGACAAGAGACTGATCCCAAGCAAGGCCAAATGGCATTTGGAGCTGTTGTGGGTTAAGGGGTTGATTAGTGCTCCTTAGCCCAGAGCAGGAGCAGCTGTGGATCGTGTTATCTTACAAAGCAGAACTGATCCAGAGAGGTGGTGTTTTGGCTTAAGATAGCAGCCTTGGGCCCTGCGGCGTAGCCTAGCAGCTAAAGTCCTTGCCTTGAACCCGCCGGGATCCCATATGGGTGCCGGTTCTAATCCCAGCGGCCCCGCTTCCCTTCCAGCTCCAGCTCCAGCTCCCTGCTTATGGCCTGGGAAAGCAGTCGAGGACAGCCCAAAGCTTTGGGACCCTGCACCCGCGTGGGAGACCAGGAAGAAGTTCCTGGTTCCCGGCTTTGGACTGGCGCAGCATCAGCCGTTGCAGCTCACTTGGGGAGTGAATCATCAGACGGAAGATCTTCCTCTCTGTCTCTCCTCCTCTCTGTATATATGACTTTGTAATAAAAATGAATAAATCTTAAAAAAAAAAAAAGGCAGCCTCGATGAGAACTAAGGTATATTTCCTCCTGAAGGGCAAGCCTTGTGCCAAGGCTGGGGAAGGGGCACACAGGTGCCCAAGTCACGCTGGCTGCACCCATGGAGAGAGTGGCTGCTGGCTTGCTGTCCCCCAAGGCCCTGGGGGCTTCCGCAGCGTTGTAAACTGCAGGCATATGTGAGTAATAAGGCAGGGAGGAACGCAGGTACAGCAAGCTCACCTGGGGACATGGCCAGGAGGCAGCATCAGATGCTGGGTTCTGGTTTCCATGGGAAAGGCTACGGAAGAAGGCTAGGGGAGCTGGTATCCTGGCTTTGGGGCTGGAAACAGAAGAGCATCTGATCCCTCGTCTGTTCTGTGTCCGTATGAAGGTCTCAGATGTTAAGCCTCTACTTTCCCAATCTGTCAAATGGGAATTTAAGAGACAACATACAGGGCCAGGCTGGGATTGTGCAGGCAGGCATTCCTCTTTGGCTGCACCATTGATGGGTGCCCCTTCCCGTGGATGACTGAGATTTTTTTTTTTCTTTAGGTGTATAAACATTGTTCATAGCTTGTCTTCCCCATAGACCTTCCTGAGGCAGGACCCTGGCTTTCAGGGCAGAGGCCACTAGGAGACCAGCTAGATCCGCAAGTGTGGCAAGAACTGGCCCCGAGTGTGGGGAGAGGTGGAGGGTTGAGCTTACTGCCTGGCTAGAACAGGATCAAGTGTGCTTTCCGTCCAGGTCCAACAGCTGCTGGGCTCCGAGCAACTTCTCTGAGATAGATGCATGGCCCCGACACCCTGCCTGGCCTGACCATGACCTTGCCAGGAAAGCCCCCTGCTGCCACAGACAGGTGGACTTGGGGTGGAGCAGCGTGACCTTCCATCTGCTGTAGCATTCCCCAAGGGGCCACAACGGCTGTGGCTGGCCAGGTGAAAACAGGCTCCCGTGTAGGTGCAGGGGTCCAAGCACTTGGGCCACCTTCTGTTGCTTTCTCATGCATTGGCAGGGAGCTGGGCTAGAAGTGTAGCAGCCAAGGCTTGAACTGCCAGCCATATGGGATGTTGGCACTGCAGGCAGAGGCTTAACATGCCATGTCACAGTACCAGTTCTCTCCCTTTTATTCTGAGCTCCCCATTTTCCTCCTCGTTGTCAGATCATAACGTTAGCCAACGTCAACCCTACACGATGACTTTTGGCCATGGTTTGATTAGAAGCAATACCAGAATACATAAAAACTTGCGACAATAGTTTCAGGACAGCAGAATCCTGCTCTTATTCAGACCTGAAGTCACCCAAAATGAAGGAGAAAGAGAAATTGAACTGCACTCTCGCCTTCAGCAGAAATAGAGCACAATTGTAACCCGAACCACAAATTGCAAAGGAAGATTGCCAACAAGAGTCAAGGCCTGCCCAAGGAGTGAGGATGGAAAACCACGGGAGACACCTGGAGAAGACACCTGTGGCCACGAGCCACCAGGAGCCCGCACTCCTGAAGCGTGCCAGGCAGAGGAGGAAGGAGAGCTGGGCTAACAGAGAGGCCACAGCCAGGCTGTCCTCATGGGAGGCGGGGTGGGGCTGAACTCTGACCCAGGAGAAGGCCACAGCTGCAGATCTCTGCTGACTGAGTGGAAGCAAAGACGACAAGCAAGCACTGCCACCACCCTGTCAACCGAGTTTCTGGGAAGCACGCAGCAACTGCTCTCCTAAAATACTCCTGGCACCTCTGCTACAGGCACTGCCTGCAAAATGCGGATCCAAGAAGATTCACCTCTTTCAAAGAAAAATCAGAGCAGGACAGTCAGTGATGCTGTCAGAGATACGCAGGGGAGGGACGCATGGAGGGGAAGCAGGGAAACGCACCAGGAAAATGCGACCACAGACTGCATGTTGTGGCCAAATCTGCAGACTGATTTTGCAGTCATTTAATTCAGAAGGCAGGCAACTCAGGCAGTCCATAAAAAGATAAGTTGTGGGTGTTCTGGGGCCGCAGGTTCAGCGGCTGCTGGGCTAAGTCCTGGCTACTCCTGATTCTAGCTGTGTGCTTCCTGGGAGTGGAAGAGATGGCCGAGATAAATGGGAGACCCAGATGCAGTTCCCCCCCCCCCCCCCCCCCCGCTTGCACCTGCTCCAATCTACGAGGGAAAGTCGATGAAAAAAAGATCTCTATCAAGTAAACTTAAAATGCTTAAATTATATAAAAAAAAAACTATATATTTTTTAAAGGCAACCTCTTCAAGTACAGCAAAATATGAATCTTTGAAATCGACAGAAGGAACACCACCCAAACAGAATGGGCCATACTGTCAACCCTCTGTGGGCGTCACACCTGCAGATTAACCAGCTGTGCACGGGAAAGGGGAAAAACTTCATCCAGACTGACCTGTTTTCCTTATCTTTACTCCCCAGACAATATAGTATAAGAACTGTTTATACAAAGCACTCGGTCTTGGGAGCAATGTGGACAGATTTAGAGTATACAAGAAGCTGAGGACAGGTTGGTGTGCAAACACATACAAGGGACTTGGATATTCACAGACTTTGGTGCCCGTGAGGTCCTGCATATCAAGGGACACCTGCATATTGGAAAACTGAAGCAGACAGTTGGCAGACAGCACAAAGACACACGTTACTAGAGTGAAGTAAGACCAAAAGAGTAACCCTTCAATGAATGGCCATAGCGAACTACTGAAAAGAAAATGGGCTAAGACTTGGAGAACAGGACAAAGTCCCTAATCATTGTGACATTGTACAAAGCAATTCAAAAATGTTGAAAATAAAAAAGTTGGAGGACCTACTGCAATGGCTCAACAGGCCAACAACCCTTCACCTTCAGATGCCAGCATCCCATTCGTGTCCCAACTGCTCCACTTCCTATCCAGCTCCCTGCGTTTGGCCTGGGAAAGAAGCAGAGGATGGACCAAAAGCTTGGGATCCTGCACTCACATGAGAGACCCAGACGAAGCTCCTGGCTTCGGATCTGGCCATTGCAGCCATTTGGGGAGTGAACCAATGGATGGGAGATCTTTTTCTCTGTCTCTCTTTCTCTCTATAAATCTGCATTTCCAATAAAAACTAACTAAATCTAAAAAAAAAAAAAAAAAAAGAGGAGAGGAGAAGAGAGAAGGAAAGAAAAGGAAAGACTGGGGCTCTGGTGTGGCACAGTTCAGCTGTGGTTCGGCTACTGTCTACCATGCTGGCACTGCATATGACTGAGGGTTTGTGTCCCAGCTGCTACACTTCCGATAGAAGCACCTGGGAAAGCACGGGGTGATGGTCATGGACGAGAGCAAACCCAGTAGCAGTGCCTGGCTCCTGGATTCGGCCTGGCCCAGCTGAGTGTTGCAGCCACTGGGAAGTGGACCAGAGGATGGAAGACCTATCCCTGAACCGTCCCCCCGCTCCTCTCAAAACTCTGCCTTTCAAATATAACAAGAAAAGGAGTAAAAAGGGCAAAAACACACCAAGTAAGTGTGAACCAAGAAGGTGCTGTAGCCTCAACACTGGGTGTGTAAAGGTGGTTTTAGGAGCAGCAGTTTTAAGTGAGACAATTTAAGCAAAATTACAAAAAGAATTAATCATAATCGAGAAACTGTGGGGCCAGCACAGTGGCATAGCAAGACAATCCCTGCAGTGTCAGCACCCCCTGTGGGTGCTGGTTCACATGCCAGCTGCTCAGCTTCCGACCCAGCACCCTGCTTAAGTCTGGGGGAAGCAGCAGAGGATGACTCAAGTCCTTGGGAGACATGCAGGAAGTTCCTGGCTTTGGATCAGCTTGGCTCCAGCTGTTGAGACCGTTGGGGAATTAATCAGCAGATGAAAGATCTCTCTTTCTCTGTCTTTCCCTCTCTCTGTAATCTGCCTTTCCAATAAAATAAATCCTTAAAAATAGAATCAAGAATGTAATCCACAATTGAAAACCCAATATGCCAAATACCACCAAAATTCAGAATTAAAGCTGGAGAAAGTGCAAGGAAGGCTGGATAAACACACAGTAGAGGCACACGATTATAATGTTCCTCTTCTAGCTTGTGACGAACGGACTGAATAAAGTAACACCATAGAAAGAACCACACTTGCACAATGAATAAGATCTCACTGAAGTAGGGCCCGGCGCGGTGGCGCAAGTGGTTGAAGGTCCTCACCTTGCACGCCCGGGGTTCCCATATGGGCGCCGGTTCTAGTCCCGGCAGCCCCGCTTCCCTTCCAGCTCCCTGCCTGTGGCC